TTTTATGGGGATTTTGAACTGCTATTTGACTGAGCCATTCTTAAATGAAATATTGTGACGTAGAGCAATCCCCCAACCAATCATTCCAGGGCACTTGTCACCAAATCGGCGTTGCAATTATACATACTCTGACAACATTGCCAGTATCTATCATAACGAACATGCTGGAGTCAGAGAGATTTTGAGGAAAATAGTAGATGATCACGTCCAAGTTGTCAGTGCGAATATGCGATCCCGACAGCCGTTACCCAAAATGTAGAGGGCGGAATACAATTTATTACATTTCCAAAACCAAAAACCACTTTGTTATATTAATAAAAAAGTGTTAATAAATATTGATGTAAGGAATGACATGACGAGAATATGAATGCATTTTGAAGGCGACTCATTCATTATTGCACAGTTAGTTCAACTGACTGATCTGCTAAACACTAATTTTCAATTTGATGTCTGGACCTAATGACGTTGAGCAGCGTTGTTAGCTAAACTGAATGGAAAAATGGGATTTCCATGAAGCATTTCCACTCATTTTAAAAGCTCATACAGTTTGGCATCATTATGTTGGTTGTGAACACATTAATAAAATATGCATTCATGGAGCTCTTTTGTGTTGGTTACTTGTAGAATTGACCAGCTGACATTTTTATAAGTGATCAGTATGTTCAATAAAGCCCAAATAAAAAAATGACCATCTTTAAAACTTTCTTTTGAAGGGAGATAAAAACTGAGCAGAATATAAAAGAAAACAATAAATACATTAATAAAGGTTGAATCTCCCAATTTTACAACCACTGATAAAACCCCTTTGTTTCCTGCACTTTGGAGGATCTTGCTGTATAAGCTCAAAGCAGTCTTGTCCATTAAATTGCTTTATTGGTGTTACTGAACTGTTTATGATGTCTTCATGAATATTTCATCTATGTTTAAGATAAGAGCAATATAGACTAGAAGTGTTTATTTGGTATTTAGCTACTATACTGGAGTGTGTTATTGTCACTTTAATTCTTTAGTATTCTGAACCAGACTAAAAATCAGTCTGTGTTTTTAAAATGTAGTTTTTTAATAATGGTAAATGTCATACATTAGACCCTGATTGCAAACAAAACAAATGGAGCTGTGTATCATTTGTTCATTACAGTAAGCATTTGCTTCCAGGATGACTTCCTACATAGAAACAAGTTTTGTCAAAAAAAAAAGTCCATCTCTCCATTTTCTAACACCTTTGTCCCTAGAGGGGTCGGAAGGGGTGCTGGTGTCTATCTCCAGCTAACGTTTTGGGCGAGAGGCGGGATTCACCCTGGACTGGTTGCCAGTCTGCCACAGGGCAACACAAAGACAGACAGGACAAACAACCATGTGCACACACTCACACCTAGGAAGAATTTGAAGAGACCAATTTACCTGACAGTCATGTTTTTGGCAGGGAATCGAACCGAGGACCTTCTTGCTGCAAGGCAACAGTGCTACCAACTACGCCATTGTGTAGCCAAATAAAAAAAAAAGTTATTGTGAGAAACAGAAAGTTAATGACGAGGCAAACATGAGGACAATCACCACGAAGCAACACATTCTGGGATACAAAATTCTGATTTAACACTGATGAAAAATGGACCAGAAACTATGATATTTTTAAACCTGATTCCAGAGTGTATACTGAACATAGGTTTCATGTTTCTGTTTCCAAGAGTCCCATTGTAACTCTGGTGGAGGTTTTGTAGAGATGCACTATTCATGTGGGAGAACTTGAAGAGCAGATGACACAGTTGGGAACAATTCACACAACTAAAGACTCTGATGCAAGATCTGCAAGAAGAAAGCCGTAAAACCAGCTTAAAGTGTGCTTGGAGCAATGTATGTATGCTACATTTGTATTAGTAAATTTCAATGCCATATAATATTATATATATACAGTATATATATATACTGTATACATACAGTGTATATATGCATGTGTATACTGGACACACCCTTGCTGCGTTGTTGCACCTGTCTCACTGGGGGCTCATCATCAGCGATTGCTTCCCTGCTGCCTGCCTGTCTGCCTACTCCTGGGTGTACCAGTCTGTGAAATCACTGCTAAGCACCGCTGAGCCTGCCAGCAAGCATGTATTATTGATTTAAATTGAAAACTGTTAACAAGATAAAGTGTGGACTTGAACTGCTTTTGCCGAAATTCGCGGCAACAGAAAGTGCCAGGTATGCCGTTACTTTCTGCTGCAGTTTATACATTCTGAAAAGTTGTCTTCTGTAACAAGCATAATTGAGCTCATATTTATATGATGCATTAACTTATATTAACTTATAAAGGTTTGTAGCACACTATTGGACATTTCAGTTCCAGGAAGGATTTTTAAACTTTTCTCAATAACGTGAACTCCTCCACAGTCAAAAATTTTGTGTTTAACGAATGAAACAAAATGTCATTAACTTCCATAAAGTTTAGAGTGTAGCACAGTTCTTTCACTGTTATCCTATCACAAAAGTATAAGAAAAAGGCAGAAACGAGAGAGCTGTCTGTGAGGACTGGGGTAATAGCAGGGTACCACAGTTATAAGCACACAGTTGCAAATAATTTTCTGGTCCAATTTTGCAAACTCCCTTCAAACAAACACTACTGATATAAATGTCATTTAGTAGATGCAAAGAAGACGTATTGACCTAAAGATGTCACACTTTGCCAACAACAATGTCCATCTTAGTTTGTCACAGTCCCAGTTCTTTCAAAGATTTTTTTTTTTCATTCTGCATATATGGGTGCATCTGCAATAATTGAGGCAGATGCTCTATTATTTAATATTTTGAAAAGTGTTTATTTGAAACTGGCCTCTGGGTCACATGCATTGATAAATGAAAGTCTCAAGTTGATTGACAACTTAAACAAAATAAAATATTATTCAAATGTATTGCAATTTGATAGAAATGATTAAGCTGCCAATCAACATTTTAGTGAAAAATGTGTTTTTACTTCAAATTCATGAACAAGTTCAAATGAAAGAATGTTTTTTTTTCAGTTGTTTAGTGTGAGAACACTTCAGTGCTATTCTGAAATTAATAAACTGCTTAGAAGTTGTTCAATATTACAACTGGTGGAAAATTGGAATAATATTCATTAAAACTAAGCTGCAGGGACAAAGCTCTGATTTAGAAATGTTCAAGCTACCTCTAGTGGTCAAAAGATGTACTTACATGCATACCTAATGTTAATAATATTCTAAAGACTTGTGTGTGTGTGTGTGAAAATGTGATAATTATTGTCAGAAAATCCTTTGTTGTCTCTTTTCTTGTATTTTCTGACAACAAAAGAGACTGAAGAGCATTGCATTGTTTTAATTGTATATTTGTCTCACAAAGGCCGACAAAGTGTTAAAATATTTAAAAAGACAACCATTTTGAGGGTTTAGAGTTCTCTTCAAAAATGTAACTAGATGACAGAAACGGTTAAAGGTGGGATTTTTTGTAAAGTAAATATAGTCACCAGCTTCTGTTGCTCCAACTTCTGGTTTCCAAAAAGTTGGAGAAACTGGGGGTTTATTGTACTACAAGAAAAATTAGATAGTGTCCAACTGAACTCACTCCTGGTGCAGTTGCAGGTTGAAAAAAGCAAAGATGAAAAAATAAAAGATGTACTGTAGCATTCTTTGAGGCCAATAATACAGTTCTTTATTCACTTGAGCATATTATGACAAACCAAGATGTCTATAAACATTGTCTGTACAATTAAAAACTAAGAAATTATTAAGATATGTTACACAATTTAACTGCTGGGCTTTGAAAAACAAATCTTTCTTTTTCATTGTTTGAGACTGAAACACACATTGTTTGAGGCTCAGCTCTTTGAAACAATAGAGCTGAGTTTAGGCATAAACTGCAGTAGATACATCACATACCGTTACAAAAAACCGAGTACATTTACAGCTTTGATCAATAATTTTCTGGCTCGTGCATTACTAATCGCTGCGATTTCGAGAGCTTGTCACTTTGTACACATCAAATTCGTTTTAATGGCTGCACCTGTGTCCCTCCTGCCTCCACCCTGTTGTGATAAAAGGTTTGCCAAATGTGCAGTGACACAAAAGTGAAGGTAGTAATGGCAATTTGTCAGCTGAGTGAGAGCATGGTCAGATTTTATTTGGCCTTCTGTACATTGCAGAATTTTTTTAGTACTTTTTTTTTGTATGAAATAATTCTTTCTTTCGTAAAATCATTTAAGTTTAACAACAATGGAATTAAACACAAGACAGGAATAGAGGATAACAAATCTTTATAATTCAGTTATATCAAAAAATGTAATAATGATCATTACACTACCACATTCTACGCAGGAGTACAACTACTTCAAATATTTTGTCTACACATACCATTTTCACATCCGACAGGCATTTTTACCCGAGAGATGTTTTAGGAACTTTCAAACAAAAACAAAAAACAAACAAAAGGTTTAAATAGATCTGTTTTTCTCACACTAAATGAGAGGATTGTAATTTAACATTGTTTTATGTCATCTTAATACTGAGGGTTAAAAAATTAGTGTTAAAATACTCAAGAGATCTAGAGAGAAATCAAAACTTCTAAACTGGCAGATTTAATACAATTTTCAAATATTTCCCGTTTAATTAAGAAAAATGTACTCTAATTTCTAATCAAAGAATAAAATGACTGAAAGTTTTTTTGCTTGCTTTCTCCCTGTAATTATTTTGTTCAAACTATTGAGAATTTAGTTTTGCACTCTCATCCTGCTTTTGAAACCTAATTCTGCATGTAAACAGCTACTGTTGCCATGATAATAACACTGTTAAAAATGACAAACAATGCAAGAATTGGACGAAATATCAATAATATACAACAGCAATTTTGTAACTAAATTACAATTACAAAACAAACAAAAAAAGAAAACAATTTGAAAAGCATCAACTTGCAACCGGAGTATTCTAGAACAATAAATGGAAACAAATAACCAGACTGTTGCTAAGATATTTTCAAATTTTAAATATGCCTTGTTTTCCAATCAGATAATAACAAATTTAACTTCAGCTTCAACATTAACTGGGGTCTCCACCTGAACAAACTAAAAGTAAGTGAATCTTTCCAAGAGGTTGTGCTATGTTTAATCTTACTCATGGTGTTGTACAAATACTACAATATCAGTAAAATATAGTTAAGATAAAATTGTTTCTCCTTAGATTTTTTTTTTTTTTACATCATCTGTGGTCTCTCAAGTTTAAACATCCATTTCATAATACAGGAAGTGAGACACTAACACAGACTCAAAAAAGGACTGCTAGCTTTTTAAAAAGTATTAAATATGTCTATTTTTTTTCCCTTGTTTAACCAGAAAAAAATGGATGAAGCTGAAGATCTGCAACTGAAGTCTGACACACAAACAGGGGAGAGAGCACCAGGTGGCCAGGACCCAACCTTCTTATATACTAAAGAAGACATAGGAACACAAGTCAAAAAAAATATTTTGTCTCGTCATAAGAGGGCAAAGTCATTTCAGAAATTCAAGAATAAACGGTAATCAATTGAAACATTACAATTATTCAAGGTTTATCATAAAAAAAATCTATTAATTACAGTGATGTTTAAACATTTATTTCCACAGAAAATCATGAGTTAGTCATTGAGACCTATTATCATTTTCTGACAGATTAACAGTCATTGAGACTAATACTGATAAATACTGATATTATTAATACATTAAGCTTTCATTTTATTCATTCATATTTCAATTTAATCTTTGAACTATTGGCAAAGATTGGAGATTAAATAAAATGAATACCCAATATGCTACCAAAATCACAGATATATTTGGCAGTGCGTATGTAGTCCCATTTGTAAGAATGTTGCAAGAAGCAGGCAGCCATATTAATTCAAGGCACATAGATCTAAAACGCTTGATGCTACACGTACTGATCAGATATACTTTATTACGTTGCCATCTACACAGGGTTGAAGAATCCTTCAAACAATATAAAGTCAGGATGACTTCAAGACAATGTGCACTGAAAAAGAAAAATTCTGTCCCTGTGAAAGAAAATGAGGTGAGACCAAGCTAAGTAACTTTAACAACTTTATTTTAAAAGCACTGGTTTAATCTTTCAATACTAATCTAATTATCTATAGCATTTGTGAATTGTGATTACCTGGAAATCCTTCTTAACTCATGAAGCTAGAAAGAAAGACTGGACATAAAACATCTTACAATTTCATAGAACTATTCTTTTCTTCAGAAACTGAGACATTAATTATCACAAAGACAAACTGACTTTATTGGCTTTCAAAAAAAAGTATTTAACAAATCTAATCCCGTTTCATCAGAAAAAAATGAATGAAACTATGGATCTGCCACCAACATTAGAGAGAGCATCAAGTGACCAGAACCCAACTATCCTATTTACTGAGGAAGATATGGCAACACTAGCCCAACAAAACGTCTTGCTTCGTCAGAAGATGGCAAAGTCATTTCAGCAATACAAGAATAAATGGTAAGCAGTTGAACCATTAGAAATATTTGAAGTTTAGCAAGTAAACAGTCTACAAATTGTTATCATTGTTACCTGGTTACGTTGGATGGACCGAATGTAAGGTGGTCACTTTGACCTTTCCATATGTGACACTGCGATATTAGAGATTCCATTAGCAGTGAGGTTAAATGCTAATTCTTTTTCTGTCTGACATAGTGCGTATTCAATACTTCAGGTACCAAATACTTCATGTATCTCTAAGTAATTGCAATAGATAAGCCTGAGATGTCATCACAAATGGCCATAATATCCATTTAAATCGAACGATTTAAAAGAATATTCATAAAGACATTAAGGATATCCTTTTTATTCATAAGAACATTGTATGTCATAAGGACATTAGGAATGTTATAAGTGGCTTTTAATTCTGAAAACATTATTTTTTTAGTTAGTGCTTTAACTCAAATACCTTGTCCCTTCTTCTCAGACCTTCTGTATTTTTAACTGGCAAACTTAAAATATGACTTTGTTTTTAGCTATTTTAATAGCTTTTACAAGTTTTACAAATAAGTCAAGTTGCACAAATAAAACATGCTTTAATATTAAAGCATTTCAGCTTTCAACTGTGTTCATTGCTTTAAAAGAATAACAGTATTTTATGTCTTACATTAAAAAATGTAACTATAAAGCTATGTTTAAAGCTGAGTGTCTTTACTCAGCTTTAAACATAGGCAACCATTATTTCCTCATCAAATGTCATAACAATATGGTTTCTCTGGCTTTTGCAATAACCCACAAAGAAATGTCCAAACAAAACTATGTCCTTCGTGGGAGAACCGTTTTGAAAAGTGCAAAAATACAGAAGGAATTCTGTCATTATTCTGCTGTTTGTTAGCTAACTCAACACATGTACAAAGTTTGCTAGCATTAGCATTTAGCCTCCAAACATATGTCCTGTTTTACACAATACTGATCACAAACTGCATAACATGGCTCACTTTTTGTCTCTCGACTCAATAACTTCTTCAACTCTAGAAGAGCTAACTGACCTGGATATATATAAAATATTACACATGCTTGGAACTTACATTAACTTCCAAAAGGTTTATTCTTCTTCTGTGTGACCACCCTGCTCTATGCCATCAATAAGACAAGCGCCCCCAGCGGCTATATGTGGAATTGCACCGAATGACTGAAAAAACACTAAAGAACATATTACAATGAAAAATTAAGGACAGAAAAATAAAAATAATGTTGGGTGCCTATTTTTATACATAGCGTTTATTTACTGATGACTTGTTTTTCACCTCTCTACATTATGTTCAAGCATTTATCTCCATAATCAATCAAAAATCAGTCAGACAGACTTTTTATTATAACATTCTGACAGATACATGTAATTAATACTGCTGTGATTATTTATAATATATTAAATGGCTTTTTTTTTTTTTTTTTTTTTTTTCCATCGCATGTTTCAATCCAATCTTTGTGCCCCTGACTCACCAGAAATTAGAGGCCAAATATAGCAAATTCTCAATCTGCTAGCGAAATTATGGATAGCTTCGGCAGTGCATTTATGGCACAATGATCAAATGTCTTTTTTCACCTTGCCATCTACACAGGGTTGAAGAAACCTTCAAAAAATATAAACTCAAAACTGCTTCAAGACGTTATGAAGCGAAGGACAAAATTTCTGTTATTGTGACAGAAAACAAGGTGAGACTAAACTGTATAAATTGAATAATTCTTAAGTATGAGGTATGTTTTAACTGTAAGGTTAAAAAAGAAAAAAAATCACACAGCATGGACACTGTCTCCCTTTCTTGATGGCCAATCATTACTATGTTCTATGTGCTGTATTAAATGTCTATGGCTCTGAATTTTTAAGGCATAAGTTTAATCCTTTAAAGAACATTTCATAATTGATCATAATAATCTAAATAATCATACAGCATGAGTCAATTCTTATTACTTGGAAGTCCTTATTAACTCATAAAGCTAAAGCTAAGTTGAACAAAACCATCTTACAATTTTAATAACGTATTCATTTCTAACTTCAGAAACAGATTAATTAATTGTCACAAACACAAAAACACAACTGCCTTTCAAAAAAGTATTTATTAAATCTATTCTTTACCTTGTTTACTCAGAAAGAAATGGATGAAGCTGAGGATCTGAAAGTGAGCTGTCATACTCAAACAGGAAAGAGAGCATCAAGTGGCCCCGACCCAACCCTCTTATTTGCTGAAGAGTTGGCACAAGCCCACCAAGGCATGCTGCATTGTCAAAAGTTGGCAAAGTCAATTCAGGAATACAAGAACAAATGGTAAACAATTGAATCATTAGAATTATTTGGAGTTCAGCATGAAAATAATCTAGTTATTAAAGTCATGTTTAAGCATTCATGTCCATATGCAATCAATAATTAGCCAGACAGACATTTTATTATAATGTTCTGACAGATTTACTAGACTTATTAATTGATAATGTAGTAAAGGCTCTTCTTTTTTTCTTCTTGCATATTTTTATAAAATGTTTTCTCTCTTGGCTCTCCACAGACTAGAGGCAAAACAAAAAGAACTCTCAGTATGCAGGCAAAATTTTGGATATATCTTTCAGTGCAGTTGTAGAATGGTGATCAGATGTCTTTTTTACTTTGCTATCTACACAGGAGTGAAGAAAACTTCATAAAATGTCAGCTCAAGGTGAATTCCATATCTTGTGAAGAGGAGAAAAATTATGTCTCTGTGTCAGAAAATGAGGTGAGCCCAAGCTGAGTAATTTCAATAATTAGTATGATTTCATATGATAAGTCATTAATCCTCCCAGGAACATTTCAATTTATATTGATGAAATAATCATATTGAATTTGTCTATTCTAAATGCCAAGAAATCCTTCTTAACTCACAAATCTAAAACAAAAGACTGGACATAAACATTTTGCAATTTTATTTATTTCTGAAGTCTGATACACAAACAGCAGAGAGAGTATCAGGAGACCAGAAACCAACCTGCTTATTTACTGAAGAAGAGATGGCAAGACTAGCCCAGCAAAACATCTTGCTTCGTAAAAAGATGGCAAAGTCATTTCAGCAATACAAGAATAAATGGTAAATGGTTGAAACATTAGAAATATTTGAAGTTCAGCATGAAAATTAAATCAACTAATTATTGTCATGTTCAAAACTGTAATAAAATAAGCAATCGATAATTAATCAAACAGGCTTTGTATTATAATCTTCTGACAAATGAATGGGATTAATACTGATATTAATTAGAAAATATTAATTTTATTTTTTTTTTCTTGCACACTTGTTTCACCACAGATAAAATGAATACTCAAACAAATTCTGAAATCAAATAAAATTTATTTTTAACATGTAAAACAAGAGTCCAAAAAATCAAAATGTTGTATTATGCATTTCTTTGGTAGTGCAGTTGAATGACCGGGTGTTTTATGTTTTTTTTTTTTTTTTACCTTGCCATTTCACAGGATTGAACCAACCTTCCAAAAATGTCATGTTCGTGTGACTTCAAATCCTTATGCAGAGAAGGAGAAAATTTCAATCACTGTTACAGAAAATGAGGTGAGACCAAGCGAATTAACTTCAACAATTTCTATGTATGACTTTATATGTTTACAATACGAGCTTTTTCCTCCCAAGAACATTTAAATGAATTTGGCACTGATCGCAAATGATGCCACTATTGCCTGGATGTTCAGGTGACAGTGCAGGAATCTTACCAAGTTTTTGCTCAGCAATTGGTGTACATGAAACCATTGATTCATCAATGCTCAGCAGTTAATTTTTCTAATTAGATATCAATTTGGAAAAGCAAATGAGTGTAGTGAGCAACACTGTTGTGAGCAACTCCTACCACTATATTAGCTCGGTGTCATATAAAAGTTTTTCATCTTGAGTTTATTTCTGGTTAGCAAACAACAATTTGGTGGGCATTAAAATGCACTTCTTTATAACTTAAATCAGCCAATCACAAACAAAATTAGCTTTTCAGACACACGGACATTTCCCCAAAAATACCACTCTTGTTTGCCCGAAACTAAAATGGTTAAGGTGCAGTGATCTAGATTTGGTAGTTTGATGTAATTTGTGATCATTGCCATTGAATCTGTTAATTATGCACAGGCTCAACATTAAGATATTTATCAATTGTGCCATTCATCCTTTTTATTGTAGTTGTTAACAATTTTATAATTGTTCTTTACGTAAATATGTGCTTTCCTGTGACTGGTAGTATTGAAGTAATTTTGTGAGACATTCTCTCTGACATAGAAATTTGTGCCGCTGAGAGTGCAAAACACTGGTGTCGAACGTGTGTATTTCACCTTTAAGCCCTTTGATTTTGTGAAAAACATTTTCACTATCAAAAGTCAGGATGGAAACATTATCAAAACTATCAAAGACCACCTTCTCAGGCCAGGTGTGTAGACCTCTGACACAAAACATTAATTCCACATCAGTCACTCACATACTGCAATTTTAACTCTGAAATCATAAAATTAGTGGACCAAAACTTATGACAAGCTGACCTAATGAAATGAAAAAAATATTTCCTTACATTTTGGATCCAGGAGAATCATACAGAATGAAAATTCATTTCTCCTCCGACCACTCCGGCCTCTTTGAGCAGCTGCTAGTCTTTAAGTTTAAAAGAGACTGTCAGCAGTCAGAAACATTTGACATCATGCGCCTCTTGGAGGTCATCCGTCAAACACCTCAGAATGAGGACTCTCAAGCCAGATCAGAAGTAGAGAAGAGCTTTCAGACTGCGAAGAAGACATCTCTGACAGGGTAAGTAGTGAAACATTTAGCAGTTTGTTACTATTACTTGATGTTGCCTAATGTAACAAGTTTGTTTTTTGCTTCTGCAGATGTGAGGTCTTTCTGAGACCAGTGGTGTATCTCAGGAAATATTTATTGCCTAAGAACATTGCAAACATCAAAGGCATAGATATGTCTGTTCAATTTTTGATCTCTCACATTTTGTTGTTGTTCTCAAATGTTTAACTAAGACTTTTGCCTGTTATTAATTGTCACTGAAAGCCTTGTGGCTCTAAATGTACTGTCACGTTTACCATATCATTTCATCTTTTCAGAGATTTGGAGAAAAAGCCACTTAATTGGAGGAACTACTCTTGGCGATTTCACTTGCTTCTTTATCTAGAGGAGTACGCAATTTCTACCGAGCTTGAGAAATGCAACCAAGAAGATATACTTGTTGTCACTCATCAAAGTGAAAAACGTATACTGATTTTAAAGGTGACACTTCTAGCTGAGACACAAAGTCTAATAAATTACAACTTTGTGTCACATTAACAATAAACGTAAATCTTTTTGGTAATGTTGCATCAGGCGGAAGATGTCTCAAACATGTCTAATGTTGTTCTGACTGGATGCAAGGCACTGGTGGCTCCGTTGAAACAGCAGGGTGACAAGATATACAAAGGATGGGTCGATGATGTGGATGAGGAGCAAATCTACATTAGATTTGAGGAAATGTAAGAATGCATCAAAAGTAATTGGAAACTTAATTTTTTTTTTCTTTATAACCTTGTCTATTTTCAGACTATTAATTTAGTCTCCCTCTGCAAAAAGAAGTATCAAGTTAATAAAATTAGTTCAAACTATTTTCCAACAAATGAGTGAGTTTACATTTTAAATTTAGGCTTGAATGTGCAGACACTCTATGCAGTTTAATTGAGGTTGAGATATTTTCCAAAGCACAAAAATCAGACAAACATTTCTGTAAATAAAGGTTTTATTTAGACACCCCAAAGGACTTGTATCTACAAAATACAGTAAAAGATGGTTAGAAAGTGCTGAATATACTGTGTATGTAACAGCACAATTTTCAGATTTCTGAGTCATGAAAAAAATAAATAATTCCTTTCAGTTCATGGTGCTTTTCATTGGTTTATCACATAAAATGCTGATAAAATAAATAGCAGTTTGTTGTTCTAGTATTTCAACAGTGGAGAATTTCCACAGATATAAACATGATTGCAAGCTACAGTGTATTTTTAATTTTTTTGTCATGTTCTTGTTTAGTACTGACTCAGTTGCTTTGAATTTAAATTCAGGTTTCCAAAAGAATACGATGTAGGCGTGAGGTGCAGCGTTGTGTTTTCACTTCAAAGAATACCACTACGTATGCAACACAGAGCAGCAGCACTAGCGCGCAAGCATTTACTAAGGGATTTACTCTTCCCTGTTGGGCTATGTTCTGCATACAATTCATGCCTTGTACCTGTTATCCCAAAATGCTCCAGGTCAGTATGTAATAAAGTCAACACTACCTTGAAAATCAAGTTGCTTTGCCAGGTTTACCACTAAAGTAACTACAAATGATTTCTCCATCTCCAGTTCACCAATGATTGAAAACAACCCAGAGCAACGAAAGGCTATTCGACACATTCTAGCCCGTTCTGCAAAACCTGCCCCTTACCTCATATTTGGTCCACCTGGCACAGGTATGGTATGAGTTTTAGTATGCCAAGACCAAACTGATTGGCATGTAATACAATTTGCATTTCTCTTATCAATCGTGGGTCAGGCAAAACAGTAACTTTGGTTGAAGTCATCAAGCAGATTGTGTCAACTCAAGACTCCAAAATCCTGGTTTGTGCACCCTCCAACAGCGCAACAGATTACCTCTGTGAGAGGATCCTGGAAGAAAACATTGTACCCCACAAAGTGTTTCGCCTTTACTCCATAAGCTACAAAGTGGAAAAGATCCCTCAACATGTGAAGGTCTGGATTCTGTTTGTTTTTATTTTCTTTATTACAACTAAAATGAAGGAGAGAAAAGACAGCATGACCAACAATGGTCAATATTTTAGAGGGACAGATACCATAAAATATTTTTTGTAAACGTTAACTTCTATTGTATTCATATTAATGTGTACTAGACATGCTTTTATGTGTCTGTTTTAACTACAGATGCACTGTAGCTTTAATGTTGCAACAAACTCTTTTGAGATACCGACCAAAAGGGAGCTGATGACATACCAGATCATGGTCACCACCCTTCAAACTGCTGGAAGGTATTATATTCTACTGGAGATGTCACAATCAGAAAGCTTCTCTGTCACAAATACTAATCAGAGTGATTTTAAAACAGGAACCAGGTTACAAAAAAAGCCCAATTTAACATTTTATTAAAATGGACATAATGCATAAGATTTAACAGTCAGTAGATTTATTGTGCATCAAATTAACATTCTCCATTTTATCTATGCTACAAATTTTACACTCAAATCTCTCATCAATGTTGTTACAATTTGCCAATCCATATTGCAGTTATACTCTGTGGAAGTGATTTAAAAACCCAGATAGGAAACAAGCAACAGGTAAATGAAATAAAGTTTTATTAGGGACTCTGACACCAAACATAAAAAAATAAAAATCTTCATAAGTGTGCTGAGCCCCACTTGTTACTGAAATTGCAAAATATTTCAGTATTTTTTGCCAACTTTCTGCTTCAGGGAAATGATTTCTTTGATGATGGCACAATTTTTACACAAATTCTCACATATTCAGAAAGAGTCAGAAAGGCTAAATTGATTTAGTGAGTTGATGTTCAGATCTGTGGTATCTCTAGCTGATCTCAAAGTTCTCGTCTTTCCCGTGATTATCCTGAAGGCTCTTATTTGTAATTTTTTTTCACCCATTTCAAGGCATCAAAGAAATTGGGCCCATTTGCAGCAAGTTGAAATCTTGTGAGAAATTCCTTATCGAAACAAATGAAATATGATGTTTATCCAAGCTGCAACATGTGCAATGATTAACCTTAAATTGCTGAATGTAAACATGCACTTCCTTTTTTACAGACTAGTGACAGGTGGCATTCCTCCAGACCATTACAGTTACATCATTGTGGATGAAGCAGGCCAGGCTATAGAAACAGAGTGTTTAATTCCAATAGCTGGTGAGCAAGGTGACTTTGTTTAAAATACTATATACTAAGCATGTATTTTATAATGTATTCAATGGATTTCTGACAGGATTGCTGAAACCACATAGTGGCCAAGTGGTTCTGGCAGGTGACCCGAAACAGTTGGGACCTATTATTTTATCAAAAATAGCAGAGAGAAACGGCTTGGGTGAGCACCTTGCATACAGTGTTATTGATACGTAAAGGTCTAAGTATATAATCAAAATATGATTCAAAACATGGCAAACATTTCTGGATTAAAAAATTTGATTATCTGCTTTGGTAATTAGATCATCTGACTACCTTATGAAAATGGAATGAAACATTATCTTAGCTGTAAATGCTGCAAAATCTAATTTGTAAGCTCAGTTTTTGCCTTTTTTAAGTGTGTGAAACAGTCAGAAAATGGTGACTATTCACGTGTTTCGAGTAGGATAATAGTGTTCACTATTTTCAGGTGTGTCCATGCTGGAGAGACTAATGACGGATATCAGACTGTACAAACAACACAAGATCAACGGCTTCAACAGTCGCTATATGACTAAACTACTCAGGAACTATAGGTTTGCTTTTTGTGAAGATGTTTTTGTGGCATAAATTAGTTAATCTCTGTCAATTTGAATCTGGTTCATTCCTACTTCATCCCAAACTTTAACCATTTTCAAGAAAACCTTTTATATCAGTTTATGGGGATAGATTAAAGGCTCAGTCTTAAGTTAGTTTTACACTATACAATATAGATTTACATTGTTTCTAATCATTTCAGGTTTAATATCTGTTTTGAACTAGCCTCATTTCCTTGTTCTAGAAAACCAAGTAGATTATAATTACTTTTAGATCAGTATTGACCAGAGTGGATAAGCAATAATTCCAAAGTTTGTGCAAAAACTTAAATGGGGTTAAATGATCATCACTGTTTTTTTTTTGTCACTATCAACAAAAAGCTTCCTTCCTCAATTCTCTCCAAACGTTCCCACATCTTCTTTGCTTTTCCTTAGATCTCATCCTGCGATTCTGAAAATACCCAATGAGTTGTTCTATGACTCCGAACTCCAGTTCTGCAGTTCCCTTGAGGATTGCTTGTATAGTAACTGGGAACTTCTGCCAAGGAAGGTAATTAGAACCAAGACAGAAAATATCTTGCCATCAACTTCTCTTCATCTCTAATCTTATCTCGTTTCTCTGAGGATCAGGATTTTCCTCTAATGTTCCACGGGGTTGCAGGCATGAAAGAACAAGACCTCAACAGCCCATCTGTTTACAATATGGCTGAGGTGGATGTATTGAAGGAATACTTAAAATCCTTAATCAAATATCGCCGCAGAAATGGTCTAGACAAAATTGGACCCAAGGAAATTGGCATTGTTACTCCATACTCAAAACAAGTAAGTATTTAAGCTTTATGTTCATTATTAATGTGTTCGTAACTTCTATAACTGCGGTAAAGCTCTGTAAATTCTGTGTCAAATAAAGACTTTTTAAGGACAGTCTTTATTACCAAAGCAGCAGAATGTGCAATTATCTTTGTCCTCATTGTCCTGCTTATGTTCTGACAGGTGGAGAAGATTAATGCAGCCTTTCACAAAGACAAGGATCTAGTCAAAGAGGACTTGGAGAATGTCCTGGTATGACACTTTTCAGAAATTACTACAATTTCGTTCACATATTAAATAAACTCTCAATTTGTTTCCTTTTTCTGAAGGTTGGCACGGTTGAGATCTTTCAGGGTAAAGAGTCAGATGTGATCCTGATGTCCACGGTGCGCAGCAATCCCGTCCTGACTGCACCTAATCAACATTTCAGCTTGGGCTTTGTAAAGGATGAGAAGGTGAGAAATATCTCACTGTTCTTAGATATGTTCTCCTCACATGTTTTTCACTCATTGCCAGAGTGGTGGTAGTTTATATAACGCAGCAGCATCAACAACTTCTACTCTACTAAGATTAAAAAGGCTTCCGTTTTCTCTCATTGCAATAGCACAATCTTACAATTTCTTTGACACCATGGAAAAGCTTTAAAATACTTCCCGTATGTGCAACTTTTTTTCTTTAGTTTTGAAAATGATGTTTGTTATAGGATGTATTTGATTTTCTTCTGAATCTTCCACATGATTTGTTTGAAAAGAAAAGAAGAAGAATGTTTTATCATTTATTTTTACTTCTCAGCCTAGTGACCAATTTATTTCCAACACAATCATTAGAGTTCCCTCTACATTTATCTGCACTCAATCTAAAGATGTGCAAAATCCTGAAAATAACTGACTTTTTATCGCAGTTGCATAATCTCACCCTGTAGCAAATTTAAGAACCATAAAATAAATCTACATTTATTCCAACACTTTTTTAAGTTTATACTACTTTGATAAACGTTTATTAGAAGACCTTTGTCATTGGGCTGTCAATATATTTGACCCTATGTATTTACAATCTGAATCTCTTTAGAGATTCAACGTGGCAATGACTCGAGCCAAAAACCTGCTGGTGGTGGTTGGAGACCCCAGAGTCCTGGAAATAGATCCTGTGTGGAATAAGTATGCCTATGTATTTTCTTACAAGTACAAGTACAAAGATTTGGCAGAAATCAGTCTGACATGTCTTGCTTTTATTTCTTAGGCTTATCCATTACTGTTTAAAAGAAAGAGCATACCGTGGCATCAATATTTATGATCTGAAGGAAGGCACAGAGGTTGCTGACCTTTCCCCAAGCTCTGGGTAAATAGCAGATTTGCAGATCCAGAGACATTGTTGTCTGTTAATTATTTTAATGATAAATGTTTGTGTTACAGCTGTCAGCAGAAAGTGAGACCAAAGGTCGCATTCAGCTGGTAGAATAAAAAGCATTCAACACAGAAATAAACTTCATCCAAACCCTGTTTCACTATTTCATTCTGAAGGTAATCAAGAATCTGAAGTTTGTTGCATATTTAATGTAGCATGTGCAAGACATACAAAACAATGTACCATTCAGACAACACAGTACAAATCCTTCATTCAAAACCATTAATAACATTTCATTTCATGGAGACTTTCAGACTCCAGAGTGAGAATATGCTTCAGTTATCCAGTATTAAGTTTTTACCTGCCTTCCTATCCTTCTTACTATGTGAGGTGTTAAATTAAACCCACATCCTGGAAAGAAATGAAAGAAGTTATTATCTTGTGGCTTTTTGTATCTCAGTATTCCTAACTCTTTTTTTTACCTTACTGGTTTTATATAAATAGAAAAAAAAAAACGAGCTAATAGTCCTGAATATTTTTTCTATTTTTAAGAAAAAAATATTTTTTTTCAAGTATTGTCTTGTTGCTTTGTTTTTGTTGTTTTTAAGGCACCAGACGATTTACTGGGTGATTTATGCACCCAGTAAATCAAAAGAAACAATTCATTTGAATTTATCTATTAACAATTTCATCAATGATATAAAAAAATTAACTTCAGAGCAGCTAAAATTGGAGGAATGTACTCAATTTGACTTTAATAATCATATATTATGTATTTTACATTACAAGAACTCTTATTGTTGTACAAACACGCCCTTGCAGAGGTCATGGAGAGACAGGGTGCGCCCCCTTAATTCTCCACAAAGCAGAACTGTCCACCGAATAGGTGGAGTTTATAGCCATTTTACATTTGAAGCAATTCGTAGTTGGTTGCATAAATACCAACATCGTCTCAAACAATGAATAAATTAAACGATTAAACGATGGTAGTCAGTGGATATGACGTAAGGAACTCAAATCCCTCTAGCAAGCTGTTCTCGACGTTACACCTCCGTCGAGAAAACTTGTTTTCCTCAGGAAAACTCCTCTTTCATATTTCGGTCATCGCCTATTCGTAGGTCTTCCGGCGGCTGTCTGTTATAAAACACACCCAGTCGCTGAAACTCTCGTCTTTTTATTGGTTAACCTGGCTGTTTACAGGTGTGTCACTCTTTCAAAGTAACCAATCCGAAAACGGGAACCAGCTTCACATTAACGGAACACTTTGTAAGGGTTTCCGTTTTTGTTAACGTTTCTCTATACACTTTTTCACAATAGGCGTAAAGCTTAGCAATAAATATCCATAACTTCGTTTTGATATATAGAGTCATTTTCTGTTTAACCATGGCTTGAAGGAAGACCTCTTTATTTATTCAGACGGGAACGCGCCTGCGTGCCCACGCCCTTTGTTACAGGTGCGGTCCATGACCTCATCCCCTAGGAGGGCACACAGACGGCAGGTGAGGTCGAGTCTTGTTGTGAATCCCGTGGGTGATCTCACTGTTCATAGTGTAGTATTTTGTAGATGTGATAAATTCCACCGAGGAGTCAAAAACGACTTTGCAAAGCTTTAGAAGAGAACAGAAGCTAGTTTTGTGTGCAGCGAAGCACTTTTTATTCATGCCAAAACATTAAAGTGGCGTAGCAGGCTATTTTTTTTTTTATTTTTTTACTCGCACCTAACGGCTACTATGAGCAATTCAACAGAGAGAGGAGCCGAAATGGAGGATTTTTTTAAAACGGTAAGTTTGCACCTAGAACTGCTTTTAGTCACAACATCATTGAGACCAAAAGCTTTGGCCACATTTTGGTTGCAGTCATTGTTAGTCATTTGTTAGACCTAGCAACAGACGCTACATAAAAACATATGATTAAAGTTACATTTTACAACAGTAAAACTTAAATGGACTGCACAGCTGCCTCGCAGCAAAAGCTCCAGGGTTTGAATCTTTGGCAGGGGTGATTTTGGATGGCTTTTGCATGGTTCTTTCTGGTTACTCTGTAGTTTACTACTTATATTCTTTTGCAAATTATATTCTGCTAAATATTAGGAGACTATATGCTCCCTACTTTCTGCTTGGAAAAATTTTTTTAATTTAATTCTTGCATTTTAATTAAAAGGGTGCATTGGAGTCTTAAATGTGTCAAACTATTCCTTTTGCAGCTTAAATATGTCATAGTTATATAGATAATTTTCTTTAACCAGGCTGATGATGCCAGTTTATCTACTTTAAGCTCCTAATGTGAAGTGACGGACCCCCAGACACATTTTGTATTCTTTTACTGTCACAGATTCAATGTAATTACAAAGAATGAACACTTGTAAAAAGAAATGAGGGAATGCAAGTTTGTATATGTATAACATCATGTACATAAACAGTAATTTAAAGTTCTATCCAGAAAAAAAACAAAGAACAGAGATGAAAACATTGTCAACATTGGTGGTTGTTTTTCTTGGCTTGTTCTGACATTTCAAGTAGCCTAATGTTGGGATTTTTTATGTCCAGGTGGGTGAGGTAAGAAATCTCATTGAAAAAATTTCCAGCCAAACAGAGGACATGGAAAAAAGACACTGCTGCATCCTTTCCTCTTCAGACAGTGGTAAAGGTAAGACTTTCTGGAATAATTAGTGAAATATTTAAATTGTGTAGCGACTCAATGTCCTAGTAAGCTCCTTAAAGATACATACTCACACAAAAAACAACAAGAGCAACTGAAATATGAGAAGCTTAACAGAGCTTTATTTGTTGACAGAAGGGACACAGAAGCCAATATAGCAAAGCCCTGTAAACATATCTGTGCTATTTGGAGGTGAAAAGATTATGTGGCCATGTTTCCAGAATTTAAGATGTGAACAACCAGTGTTTTGGGACGTTTCGATACATTTTCTTTGTACTGGCTAGATTTTGCTTAAATACACCGTTTTATGTTGATACACAAAAGTATTGATTAATACAGTACTATCATAAAGACAAATGTAGTCAAAGCTTTTTAGATTGGTTTAGACACAGAAAATGCTAAAAAAAAAAAAAAAAAAGTTCCTCCTTTTGTAAAGCAAATTTGTTCAATCTGTTTGTTCTTTAGGAAGTAAAGCTGAACTGGAGCTGATAAACAACGAGATCAGAAACAATGCCAGCTTGGTCCGAACCAAGTTAAAATGTAGGTGTTACAAAATGAAGTCAAAACTACTCTCTGCTGGAACCCTTGTAATAGTTGTGTAGATTGTTAATACTTCCCTTTGGACAATCATTTGAAATAGTTGCTGCTTTTCCGAACACCAAACTTGCTTACATACTTGGAGTGAAGTCAGAATAGTATCATTTGACTGGCAAATGAATAGAAGAGAAAATAAAGTGTATCACTGTCCACGACAGCTCATCAACATTCAGTCATAAAAAGCTCTCAGAATATTTTGGTTTGCTATGTAAATTGTGTAAAAACCTGGAGCGCATGTTAGTTCCTTATGTAATTACTTTGGATCTGTTGTGTGTGTTTCAGTAATGCAGAAGAACTGTCCATCAGAAGAGAACAGAACTAATCACTCTGTTATCTATCGAATTCAGATGAATCAGGTTGGTACCTAATACTTTAATTTTTCTCATGGGTAGTTGCTTCATTTTTTAAAATCAAATCATTGCTTCTATTCTGATCTTCTGAGAAACTGGTGCCCTCTCACTAGTTTCTCAGTCTCTTTGAAAAAGAAAATAATCCACAGAATAACATATTTGTTTACAATGAGCATGAGGTGCTGTCGTACAAAGACATCTTTTGTTTAAAGCCACACCCACCAGAAGCATTATTTGTTTAAAAAGCTCAAATTTGGTCTCATCTGACCAAAACAGCATTATCATATGCTATTTTGCTGTCCCTGCAAAGTTCCTGCAGGGATTAGAAAACTACACTTATGTTTGTGATGGTAGAAGAAAAATGTTAAATGAGTTCAGTGAAGCTCAACAAACGTCAACCTTAAATGGCATTTTCTTGTCTTCCACATTTTGTGGAAAAATAATGAAATTGGTCTCTGTGCCACAACAAACAAAATAAAAATACACTATTGATTTTCTTAGGTGACATTATGCTGCAACAATAATCCTAATGTTTAATTTACATAAAAATATAGAAATGATCAAATAAGAACCTTGTATCATACCGGGTTGTGATTTTAATTGCATATGGCCTGCTTTATGTCATAGGCTGTCATTGGACTGGTCATTGCATTGCAAATTTTAACATTGGCTTCCAAATAAATACTTTTGCCGACTCCCTTCTGCCAGCACTCACACCTGACTCGTTGGTTTTCTGAAGTCATGAAGAGTTACCATGAGATCCAGATTTCCTTCAGAGAGAAATGTAAGGCCCAAATTCAGAAACAGCTCGAGATTGGTAAGTTATTATTGCAATAATAATTGCTTTTATTTCCAATTTCAATGCTTTTCTTTCAGAGTAAACAGAGATCAAAGTCAAATCCCTTCTTTGCATTCATAAACTTGGCCAATAAAGCAGATGCTGGTCTTGCTCTTTACAATTTCTAGTCATAATATTGCAGGATTGTTTTATTTAGCATGTAGATACTATGACTTACATTCACTCAATTTCCTGCCAAGATTGATTGGAGTATTGTTACTTTATGTATTTCTGAGCCAGAATAGGTTGATATGTTCTAACAGAGTATTTGTTTATCTCTTTATCCAGTTTGTTAATTGGGATAACTTTGTGGTTATGTTTTAGAATAGTATTTTGTCTTAATTGAGGCTTAGAATAACACACTAATTGTACGGCAAACAGTAGTGCATATCATTTTTCACTTCTATTACTGCAATGATTCTGTTACTTTGTGTGAAAGGTTTTATTTCATTTTGTAATTTCTAATTTGCATCCATTTCACATGCTAAAGATTCTAAGTGCTAGTTTCTCATTTGTTTCTCATAGTGAATAAAGTCACACCAGATGACGAGCTGGAGGATATGCTGCAACGTGATAATCTTGGCATTTTTATATCTAATGTGGGTGAAATCCCAAATATTCTTCCAATACAATCTTATGGTATTTGAATAAAAAAATATTTATAGATACATGTATATAAAAATAATGTCCATTCTTTTTATCCTCCAACAAAGATCCCCTCTGATGCCCAATTTTCAAGTCATGCTCTCTCTGAGATTAAAAGACATCATCAGGACATCATCAGCCTTGAATACAGCATTAAAGAACTACATGATCTATTTACAGACACAGCCTTGCTGTTGGAAATTCAGGTAAAATGTCTGCCCCAAAAATAAACGATCATGGAGGACAGATTTAAAATAGAACTGATAAAATGTGTAACATTGTGTCTTTTTTTAAACATCCATCAGGGGGAGTTACTCAACAATATAGAAAAGAATGTCACCAGTGCAGGAGAATACGTAGATGCAGCAAAAGAAGAAACATATGAAGCACTTGCATACAAGAAGAATCCTTATAAGGTTGCATCGCTCCCAAGCTTCTTCAAGTCCTTTAGGAGATAAGCTAGTTCTCAAGCTGCTGATAAAAACTCCTCTGAAGACTGCATCAAACATTCCTGATACACATCAAACCTGTCTGAGCCTTGGAGAATTATTTTTATAAATTTTTTGCAGTTCTTCATTCAGTCACACCACTCAGTCCCTAGGTGGCACTGCAACAACATTGAAATATCAGGCTGAACCTCGACTAAAATTTCTTTTCTTTTTAATTTTTTATTTTGTTTTTGTCAAAGAACTTTTCAAACTATATTAAGCAAAAAATAATAATATCAAACCATATGGATGTTGAATAAAGATCTAGTGTTTACAATTGTATGTATTTATAATTGCAATAAAGCTCTAAAATTGATTTAGAAAAGGCAGCCTGAGTGTCCAAAATGTTGACGTGTAAAATTCTGTTTTGTGCATACTACTTGTTCATGATGAATGCTGTGAAACAGTTTTTAAACTTTGTGTTCTGCCTCTTCAAAATTTGTGGTCTCCTGCTGCAATGAATTAACATAAAGCGGTTTAAATAAAATGTGAGAGAAAATCTGTACAATATAAAAATAGCTGTAATAGTTGCAGTCAACTTGTAAATGAAAAATTTACCAATCAGAGTTTTACTGGCTTATGTGTCTATTTTTGCCTTTTTGTAGGTCTGATCTGCTAATTGTAAACTCTTCTGTTTTTAAATTAACAATGACATGTAAATAATGTGAAGTACAAGGAACCAAAACTTGTTTTCTTTAAAAAACAAGTTTCTTAATAACTTGTTTTTTATGATTATTGGAAGAAAATAAAACACAAGTAATTAGGGTAAATATGTTTTATCTACAAAAGATGAGTGATCCAAATTTATATTTTGGTATCTCATGAAATATAACTTTTCCTACTTAATATGTCTATTAGGTTATTATGCCCAAATTAATTTTATTTATTTTCATGTAATTTAAATGTTATTTATCCATATTGCTGCTTCAGTTTGTTTTGAACCTGCCAACTGGAAAGGTAGTGCTCACTTCTGGTGTATTTAATAAACAGGGAAAAACAGATTTTTCAGTGTGTGGCTTCCAGTTTCTAATCACAGACTGGTCAGTTGGTAAATTACTTAGAAACTAGACAGCATCAAGAAAAGTGTTCCCAAAGAGTGTATGCATCACATACATTGAGTCACTTCAGTAAACATATTTTGATATTGTGACCTTTGTAAAAGTGCAGTCTCAAGTAGCATTGGATTTAATTTGATGCTCTGCTGAGAATAAAGTGGGACTAGTGTGGCTGTAAATATACTTTTTAGTGATTGAAATGATTTTACTCATGCCTCAATGTAAATGAACTGTTAACACTTCTAATAGTGCACATTAAGTACCACATCATCTTTAATGCTTATTAATAAATATAAAAACTGAGAATTTACATAAAGCCTTCACTTGACTTTTATCATCACCACTAATTCTTATTTGTAATGTTGTAGAACACTTGCATTAGGCATAGAATACCTATAGGTTAATAATTTAATGACATTTGTGTAATTTGCTACTGCACTTGCTAAATGGAGTGATAACAAGAGTGTTGCTATATCTATGTGTAATGTATTATTTCCTACATGGTCCATATGTCTCAAAAGCTATTGACTGGCTGTTACTTGTGTGATTTGTAGTTACTTAAAACCATTTTGTTATCGCATTTTTCTCTTTGATCTGATTAGAGTTGAAAACAAACAAGCCTGCATTGTGGGCGTAGTGCCAGGATGAACCCATTGACTTTTCTCTGCATTTCCCACCCAACCCCTTCCTCCCTCCGTTTGTGCTACCTCAAGATAAAATTTCACAGCACCTTTGTGCTTTGCTGAAACCACTGATTTCCAAATTGCTATGGAAGAGTGTGGGTGTATATATAAAAAGATGACTGTGTGTATGGGGAGAGAAAAAGGAAAAGATGTGAGTGAGGATAAGAAAAATGCAGACATACAAACATGACTCATTTATTGGATGTGCCAGAGTGGTGAACCCAAAAAATAAAGCTTGACCACAATTTAAAAGGGCTGAGTGATGTGTGGCTGTGTAAAATGTGGGGGCCTGGCCCTCCTCCCAAAGAACCATTAACCATTTCCCCAATCTGGAATGAAATATGAGGGAAATCTGGAAGAATTAGGGGATGAAAAGTCTCATTTTCTGCTTCCTCATGGAGCCTTCCTGGCCGGCTTATTTCTTGGCTTTTCCCTGGGCAGCCACAGCCTCCATGGCCTTCTTCACGGTTTCCTCATCACCGAGGAAAGACATGGGCTTGACCGGCTTCAGATCTGCATCCAGTTCGTACACGATTGGGATTCCTGTTGGAAGGTTCAACTCCATGATGGCTGCATCAGACATACCTGGAAAAGACAACACAAACAAACCCTGAAATCAGAAGTATGAGTATTTGAATTGATATAAATATATGGCAAGATGACAGTACTAATTGACATTATTCCTGACAAATTGCCCCCAACCTTTTTTTGGTTAAATGTGCACAGGAAGTCTAAAGCAGACCAATTAAACTATAGCACAGTCTTTGGACCTCACACTGACTTGTTATGATGTTATGACAGACTGTTTAAATTAAAACTGATCTTTTGCACAAAGTGAAAATAAAATTACTTGAAATATGCATGAAAATATTAGATGCTTTATGTGAATAAAATAAGTATTTCATGAATGGCACATTCAAAGGTCTATTTTTCAAATGATCTGATATTTTTAATGAATCGATGACAAATTTAAGTAATTGTTTAACTAACCATTGAGTTTCTTCACATTTATTCTGTTTTAAATTCCACACACACACACACACACACACACACACACACACACACACACACACACACACACACACACACACACACACACATATATATATATGCCTTTCTTATTGTTTGCCTGACACTTCTACTATTATTCCCGTTGAATGAAACTCCCTTATTCATCCCTGACCACTGCTTAAAAATGTACAACCTTTCGACATAAAGGTCATGACTGTAATGGGAACCAGACTCATGACCTTCTACCCTGCACTCCAGTGCAAGAGTCTTTGCAAGCTATTTATAAGCAGTGGAATCAAAAGCTTAGTATCTCAAGGTCTTTTCTTCTATGTAAATCCATTCACAGTTGTGTTGTTCTCTGGAATTAAGATTTAGATTTTTATAAATAAAAACAAAACAACGGCCCGCTTACTAAGTGCAAAACTCACCCTCTAGGTGCTTGACTATGCCACGGAGGCTGTTGCCGTGGGCAGCGATGATAACATTCTTTCCTGCTTTGATTTGTGGAGCAATAACCTCATTCCAGAATGGTAAGGCCCGTGCAATGGTGTCCTTCAGAGACTCGCATGTAGGCAGTTCACCAGCCTTCAGGTCTTTGTAACGCCGGGACTGGAATTAACCAAAAAAGAAGCAGACTGTTGCACTTGTAAAGAACTATATGATGGTAAAGTTTAGGTATCTCACCTCACTGATGATTTTGTGGTAAGGGTGGTCCTTATCCATAGGTGGAGGTGGGATGTCAAAAGATCGACGCCAGATCTTCACCTGTTCCTCACCGTGCTTCTCTGCGGTCTCTGCCTTGTTCAGACCAGTGAGGCCTCCATAGTGGCGCTCGTTCAGGCGCCAGGTGCGAATCACGGGCAGCCACATCTGGTCAGTTCCCTCCATTATGGTCCACAGGGTCTGGATAGCGCGTTTCAGCACTGATGTGTAGCACACGTCAAACTTCAGACCTGCCTCTTTAATAGCCTGGGCTCCACGCTTGGCCTCTTCCACACCCTTCTCACTGAGATCAGCGTCAAACCAGCCACAGAAGCGGTTCTCCTGGTTCCAGGCACTCTCTCCATGGCGGACGATAACTAAGCGGTGGACAGCAGTCATATTTAATAGTTTTTCTTGGATTTTTAGCTTTGAATTAGACACAGAGCCCTTCTAAGCTCTTCTAAGTTGCTCTTTCACACACTTACTGGCTGCCCAACAGTGAGCCCAGGCCAACATACCAAAATGTTTTTATAGCGGACCAGCCCCCCAGCATTCCACCTGTGAGGGCATTTCACCCTCTGATCGACACACAAAGCAGGCCAATAAACCAGACCTCAACTGGGCTTATGGGAGAGGCTGGGAAGGCCAGAGGTCAGGGATAAACCAAAATAGCAACATGACTTTTAAAATGAGATCTGTGGAGCAAAAGTGTAGAGCAGAGTTGGTGGCACATAGTTTCCTCATCCTAAAATGAATGGCTAAAAAGCTGACAACAAAACTACTGTGAACAATTCTTAGTGACTTTTACATTTGCCATTCATTTGTTTGCTAAACCTTTGACCTTTCATCAATCCATACATGCATCATCCACCTGTGTTTCTATTTGTCTGCCATCCATCCATTCTGCATTCATTCATCATCGACTTGTGTAAAATCTGTGTTTCTGTTTTCTATCAATCATAGGTCTACCATGCAGACATTAAAAATTTTTGTTGTCATTCTTCCATCTGTCCTCTTTCCTAACACTCACTGTTCTTGATTCTTTTGTCATCATTTTGAGTCTATTCATCCCTAAATCTGTCAATTTAAATTCAGTTTTCATTTATCCATCCAGGTTCCATTGTCCACATTTTTTGTCCATACATAGTATTTTTAAATCCATTGCATTTTGAAATTTCTAGTGTTATATTTTTATACTATATAATATTTTAAACTTTATGATTTTCCCTCCAGGGATTAAGAAACTAACTACTATAACTTAATCCATTCATACATCTGTAGTCCATTTGTCAATAAAGGAAATATGCAGAATCATCACTTATTGGTTTAAATCTATGAATGTGAAATTTTGTACAAAATCTAGTTTTTCAGCATAAATCCACCATAGAATTCTTGACAAATATTTAGTCTGATTTTTAGTGTTGTATCTTATAATGACCACTAGGGGATGATCTTGTAAAGAATGAGCAAGTGATGTTTTTACCGGTATTATTCCTTCTTTTTTCACTTTTAGAAAAGATGAATTACAACAAATTGTATCAGGTTTAATCAAAAAAGTTTTTAAAAAAGAACACTTTCATTCTTTTATATAAAAAAGTCAAACATTTGATTTACTCTTCTATGTTCTTGTGTTGTACTGAACAAATGCAAGTGTATACAGTATTGTACAAAAACAAGTCTCAGAAGCTGAATATTCTGCTGCATTGTATAGGAAATGTAATGCCAGGAAAGAGCAATGCGCAGAAACTCCCAGAACGGATATAATGGAGCTGGCTTGGAAACTGAACCACAAAATCCAAAAGCTGAAATATGAAGCAAAGTGTTCTTCTGTCATCCTCCTGTGAAATTATGATCCACTAGAAAGGCAGAGGTCCAAAAAAAGAATATTAATGGAATTCTAGGAATAATGCCAACCTGCATCATGTGACCTTGGATTGTACTGTACATGAAAAAAACTGCATTGTAAGGAAAAGAAAACTTCTTTGCCTTAAATTTCTCTAGTTATATTTTTTAACAACCATATTAAATTTTATTAATATTGGAAAACTGGTGACCGCATTCACCCATTTGCTAGCTACAGGTTTTGTTTCAAATTGGTATAAGAAAATGTAGCCTTTTTCATGTTTTTGTTAAATTACTGATTCACTATCGGTGTTTGTTAGTACCTGACATTCAGTACTCATCATCTTTCTTGACCTAACAAGCCACAAGTTTGCTATTACGCCTTTAAGCATTTTCATTTGGTTGAAAAGGCGACTCAATGATCTGATGCCTCGGTTGTATCGCCCAGAGTTTTGTAAGCATCTTGTCTGCAACAAATTGCCTCGGTGCAGATTGTGAAGCTGCTGTTAGAGATGGAAAAAGTGGACACGAGGGAGTTTGCGTGATCACAACTGTTCCGATGACTCAGCCTGCAGAGTCATACAGCTTTCACTGTATATAGAAGCATAGAACTGCCTTTGAGGGCTCTACTGGCCTTTGGTGCAAGGAAAAATTACACAAACAGCACCAGTTACAGATCAAAGCACGGTCAAAT